ATTTGGAGTACTATTTGCTGTGTTTTCAGGGATGTGGAATCTTGTTCTCCCTGTTCTTTGATACCATATGCACCTGTGATGAGTTGTGAGCACTGATCTTATCACTTAGGGGTTTGTACCCATAATTTAGTGAGAACTTAAAACACAATGGGGTGTTTAGGGGGGTTTTGCAGGTAGCAAGGAAGACAGACCATTGGAAATTTGTTCTGAAATGTTTGCTGAAGTTGAAGAAACTCTTTTGTGGGCTGTGATTGCTCCATCTCAAAGCATACGTATTAACAACTTCAGTCTCTATCCACATCCCTTGCAGAGCACTATGTCTTGCAGACAAGGAGTTAGAAACTTTCAAACTTTTTGGAGCAAGAAGCCAGACAACGTCATGAACTCACATGTACTCGTGCAGAATCTCAGATGAGCAGCATCCATAGTCACTAAAGAGTGCTAGATATCTGATTTGAGGGTGGCTTGATAGGGAACTGGTAGCATACAGGGAAAGCAAAAAAACAGCTGATCCATTGCTTGCATCTGTACTCACAATGGCTTGCAAAGAAAAGAGAAATGTGCGTGTCTTTTGGAGTTCTGTTCTGCCATGGATCTGAGCATGAAGTTCCTCCTGAAGCCAGTGCAAGTATCTCACCTGTTTACTAAATGTGAGCTTGAGTTAGTGTACAAGCTTTTGACCGGGCTGGAGATGAGATCCAGGAGAAAAAAACGTCATATTTCTCCTAGTGGTGTTCACAGTGATCTTACTACAAGGTCTGTGATGCTTCATGTATTTTTCAGAGCCTCAGTTCCTGCACTTGTGCTGCTGCTTGAGAGGTTTAGTCTGTCATTAAGGTCAACAATTCTTGTGCTTTGGGCTGTAAAGAAAATCAGTAGCCTAAATGTGAATTACTTAGGTGGGAAGTCACTACCCAGCAGTGACTTAGCTCATAACTATTGGAGCCCTCATAAGTGGCTTTTGAACACTTAGGATTGTCAAGACTGCATTAATCAAAAAATAATAAAGATCAGAGGTTAAAAAAAAAATGTGAGTTACTAGATTGACTTGGGGAAGCAGCTAGAGATGAAAGAACTTGAAACACCCTGGGCAGGACTGCAGTTTGAGGCAGTGCTGAGAATTAACACTTCACACACTGGCTGCTGTAAAAATCATTGCTTATACAGGAATTTGTGCCCCAAGGTCTACCATGGCAAGTTACAAAGTTTTAAAACAGCCTGCATAAATGGATGTGTGAATTTTTAGGCATCCGAGCTAATGGCCTGACTTCTCAAGATGCTGATGCAGTTTGGAGTTGTGCTTAATCAGGGTTCAGAAAATCGGGCCTTCTTCCTTAGGTGATTGCAGATGGACTGAAGTGCCTAAAATCAGGCAACCAACTTTGACAGGTTTGGCAGTGCTCTAAGCAGAAAGGACGTATGTCAATGTACTTTTCTAGCTTTTTAGATTAAGTTGGAGTCTGGCAGTGATTAACAGAGTGGGATTAGTAGTATTCCTCAATTGAAAACTAAGACCAAGCTCTTAGTTTGACAGATTTGATATGTTGACATCTAATGGCCTCTGATCTCCTACCAGTCTTACTTTGGGTGACTTCGTTTACTCCCTCAATATGGCACCTGATTTATGTGATGATGAGAGCAAAACTAGATCACACAAGGATGCTCTTGCAGACTCTTACCGGTGGATACTGACCTTAGTTCTGCAAAGATATACCTGCTTTTAAATATCAGTGGTCTCAAGCCATTGTAGGATTGAGCCACTGGATTGACCATCTGAGTGGCAGACATCAGTAGTGCAGTCCGCACCCTTTGTAGTAACTGGCCTTCTGAGTGAAATAACAAACGTCCACTTTCCAGTGCAGTCCAGAGTCTCAGTTCTGACGGTGCCACGTAACTCTCATGTTTGCTTTTGTGGTCTACGTGTGGGTGTTACATCGAAGATTCTTCTTGTCAGACCTGGTTGTCACTGTTCATGGTTTTGCCCTGAGTAACACGTGCATTTAGATATCCATTTCATGTGTAATCTCAGTTAAGTTATTTATAATGACATATATAGTGCGTGATAATTATTTTTGTTTACATTCTGCCAAAATGTAGATGTTAGAGTTAGACCTCCAAGGTCCAATATCATCCTTGGGCAGACTGCTTGCTTCTTCAGAGGCGAGCATCAGAGAGAGGAAAAAACTGTCCAGAAAGATCATTTGTATCAGAAATCTGCCAAGACAGGGCTGTTGATCACAAGCGGAGCATGTCATTGCTAGTGATGTATTTTTATGCTATGGAACTCTAACCTGTATGTGTCATATTGACTTCTTGCTGCATGAATCATAAATTATAAAAATCATTCTTACGGTTTTGAGATGTAGCCAGCATTCCTAAGGCTAAACCTTTTTCATTGACAGAATCAAAATCCACAACCAAGGAACGTATTCCTCTCACTGTGAGAGCAATTGAAAGTGTTCAACATTTATCTTTCACAAAGGAAGAGGCGACAGCACCTCTTAATGTGTCTTGTTATTGTGATGATCTGGAAATGATTGCCAGACGTTTCCTTTTGATATAGCAATGAAGTGATCCGTATTTAAATTTTATAGAGAGAATTTTATTCTAGTGTGATAGAGATTTATTTTCCACTTAAGGACTCAAAATGGTGTGAGCACATTTTTTTTACTATGGTATATTTTTGCTTTAAAATTAAAAACAACAAAAAAAAAGGTTTGGCCTTATCACAAAGTTTTAGTGTGTTGTATAGGTGTTAGCAAATGCAAAGAGTATGCATTATTTGTGTGTATCCACATTGACTGATGTCGCCTTCAAAAAGCAATATTGTGCAGGTAATAAGTTGTTTGTGACTGTCCATTGCACAGTTTACCTTCTTTAAAAGCTGACCTTGTTTATGCACAAGACAATCAAATGTAAATCTACATCAGCACCCGGGTGTAGATTAAATTTATGTAAATTGCTGAGCACAATGTAAAACATTAAAAGACACTTTATTTAATTACACATTTAATGTTGGTAAAGATAGTATCAGGGCATGAACTAGCTGACATACTGTAATTTCTTTTTCTCTTTTCTGACTTCCTTAGCACTCTTCGGTCTTAGTTTGCTCATAAATACATCAAATTAGTCACTCATAATTTTTTTGAAGAGAAGGGTGGTTTGGGTTGTTTATTTGTTTTTGTGAAGTTGGTTGGGAGGACTTCTTACTTTGTCTATGAGGTTTGTGGGGTTTGCTTATTTGGTTTATTTTTTTATATCAGTTTCGTGCCCTGAGGGTAAGGCAAACATTACACCGTACGGTAAAAAACAAAGTACCTTGGATGATGTATTTTTTTGCAAACAGTGTTAAGAGTTATGCTAGATTGGTAATATTTTTTCAGCCGAAAATATATTAAAAAAAAAAAAAATCTGTGATCACAAATGTTTTAAACTATC